TCCAATATCATTACATCGTAATGTGTTATATTATACGTATATATGAAACCAGTGGTTAGTCACTGATCACATATCCCCAAAATTTAGTAAAGAGAAAAGAAGAACAAACAAATAAAGACAATCAAAATTATTCAAACTGAAACGAACCAAAGAATGGAAAAAAAAAAAGAAGAGAAATTCTATATCATTTGTAAGCCAAGAAGAGAAAAAGTTCCAATTCTTCAACCATCGATCTGCAAGTTACTCATCCGACCTTCTATATGATCTTCATTGTTCTGTGTCCTGAGATTCAGCCATGGATGTTGCAGGCACTGTTGAGCAGTAGGTCGTTTCTCAGGCGCAAAATCAAGAATCGGGCAAAGAAAATCCGCAAATTCCCGTGCTTCTGCTTCAGGGAGCTTGTATTTATCAGTCAGTAAACGGTCGAGTGGCCAATATTTCAATCTCCGGATCCTCTTTAGGTCGCCGTGTCTATCAAAGTAATCCTTTGATCTCGCACCTCCAATGGCAATCTAATCAAATCAGAAGTATCAAAGAGACTATACCGGAGCAATAAAGAGACGGAAATCAAGTGTTTTTTAAGGTACCTTCCGAGGCATTTTTCCTAAGAGTTCCATCATAAGAGCAAGGTGGTCCTAAATTCAAACCAGAGAAGAAGAATGTAAAAGAAAGAAGCTACTCGGTTAAAATCGATATGGGATTTCTTGAAATCCATATTTACCTCGTCTTCTCCATAACCATTTCCATCTTTTGGAGCAAAAAGCATTTCGCCTGTGGCAAGCTCGAAAGCAGTGCAAGCGAAAGACCACATATCAACCGAGAAAGAGTAGCCTGATTGAAGTATTACTTCAGGCGCTCTGTACTGTCTTGTTTGTATTTCTTCTGCAAATTTGTTATCATCCCAACAAGCGTTCCCAAAGTCTACAACTTTGCACCTCATATCAATCCCATCCAAATTTCTCTTGGTCTTTTTCGGTGTTTCACTTAAACCTACTATGGAAACTCTTCTTCCTGATATTTTAGCAACCGCTCTTCTTGCTCTCCTCTTCAACTTCTTCTCAATCAGATTCAAGGTTGCTGCACCGTTTTGGTTTCCCTCTGGCTTTTCTAGTATCGGTGTTAGTCCGGATCTGATGGGATCCTTGGCAGGGTCAATGCTGGAACAAAGAAGAATGTTTTCGGGTTTTAAGTCGGAGTGAATCATACCGAGTTCACGATGCAAATAATCTAGACCAGTCAGTATACATTTGCATATCTCCCGTACTTTATTCAACTCCATCCCTCTGTAACGGTTATATCTGATTAAGCGGAGCAAGCTATCGCCAAGAAACTCAAGCACCATGCATAAATGCTGCCCGTTGGGACCTGCGTGCTTGAAATCATCGATAAGACGAACAACACATTTAGTATTTTGAGGATCCCCATCAGCAGCAGCTTGAAGAAGTTCGATCTCGTGAAGTGCAGCTTGAGCAAACTGTTGGGCGCTCTTCTGAATCTTCAAAGCAACATAATTCTGTAGAAAAGACAGTTATTATACAAGCCAAAAGTAAGTGTAAAAGAAACAATAACTAATGGAAACAAGAGCCAAATAAGGAGGATGCCTATGAGAAGGAGCTTGTACGAATTCAATTTTTCAAAGGGATTCTTTAATCTATAGACATGGATACTCCTACATTCTAAGAGACTAAAAGTGTTCCTCTGTTTCATAGAAGGTAAAGAACGTACTCTTAAGTTGGAGCTCAGAAGAGAAGAAAACAATAAATTAAGCCTATACTTGATGATACATTCATAAAGTCACAATGGCATTTCAGGAACAAAGGCCAATAATATACGTTTGTTTCTTCTTCCTTAAACAAACTGCTATGGTTGGTTTAACTACAGAGTACAGTCAGAATTTTGTTTTCCGAAAGATTAATTCACAAGGAGCCAAGATCTTGCACCCAAAACAGATCAGAGTCTTGATGAAAAGGAATTCGAGGAGACTAATGGATACAATACAATGATTAAATAAAGGAAGAAACAAATCTACGAACTCAAATTTTGCATTTAAGATCTTGTGAGAGAGATGCGTACAGAGGTGCGCGTATCAAAGGCTAGCCAAACGGTGGAGAATTGACCCCAACCAAGCTTTCTCTGAGCAATGTAACGGCCACCGGAAAACTGGTCCCCGATTCTCACGGCGTGATATCCACCTTTACGGTAAGCATCGAAACCCTCATCGTCTTCTTCTGATCCAGATGAGGATGAACACGACATATCTTCTCTTGTTCCCTTGTCTGAATTCCACAGTTTTTGTGGATTTTGATTGTCAAAGTTTGGATCTTTGAATAAAAGAGCTCCCTTTTCTTTCGTTTCTCG